AAGTTCGAAGCACCCAGTTTTTGGCGAAATACACTCATTTGCATACCAACTTGATTGTGACAGGAGACTCACCTGAATCTGTCGTTTGCGATTTGGTTTAATTATAAATATAAGTGAAACGCTCGCTTCTATCACCCGATTTTCGAGGGCGCCAGGATTTTTTAGGAATATGGTAGTATAGCAGCCTGTTGCACGGATTTCCGCTACGTTGACAGCACCAATCACTGATTGAACAACCAACACAGAGTTGAGCTCGCGGATATCGAAGGCTAGCATCACATTTAGAATGTTTCAAAAGCGTACTGGAAGCAACTACTATTCGCAAACGAACAGAACAATCGCGGTGTAACGTGTATCATACACCTAAATACGGTAGTGGGACGCCAAAAACATTCTGGCATCATGTCCGGATTCTTGGCCGACTTTATCTGCAGCGTCTGCAAATGAAATTGTGCGTACATAGGTCGGACTGGATCCCATGTATGATTCAGAACTTAAAGATTTAAGGAATCGTGAGCATCTTGATTCGCGACAAGCTGCACTGGTTAGGGCGTGTGAGACGCATAGATACAGATCACGTTCTCAAACAACTGCCATACTGGAGGTTGAACAGCGGTCTTAAAGGCCATGGAAATCCGAACCTGTGGTATTCAGAGAGCATTCATGTGATCTTAGACAATGGAAAAGTGTGTCGCTGGACACAGACAACTGGCGAGAGGTCTTATTTGAAAGTGTGGCGCGTTTCGAGATTAAAAGCTCCTCGATACTCCAGCAGAAACGATCAATTCGTAAGCTGATCAGGCGAACGTAACAACATCAAAACCATAAAAATTATAGAGGTATACAACTTGTGGACAGATATTCGAGGACGAAATCGAACTTGCAAGATACTAGAGTTCCCAGGCCATATCGACCGCGAAGCGTCGGTTGGCGAGTTGACATAAGTCTCCTCCGGTTCCTAACAGAAAATGTCCCCCAACTGCACGTGAACCACCCGCTTAGCTATGGCAGCTGGAATAGTCTATCTTGTGAAGTCCCCTGCGGATATGCTCGCACGGTGTTGTGTCCGCGGAATACGGCACTATACTTAAACCTAAAAGAATTTCCCGACGAAACCACCACCTCATTCCTTAGAGCGGTACCAGTGGTTATCGTAGTGCTATTATATTTGGGCTAGATGAATGGCTGTCAACAAATCTGCTAATTTGTCCGCGAATCTTTCCTTTCGAGTTCAGATTCCGATTCTCAAGCCCACCCACCGTAAGCTCATGAGAGATTCGGAGAAAGAAACATAAAATACAAAACGCTTTCATCGTACGCTCTCACTTGACCTGCCATGGATTCCAAGACGCAATGCTCGCTGTTATCCCCCTAGTTGGGAATAGCTTAGTTGCTCTGTAATTTCTACACAGCTTGACCGGCTTGACAGGCTCATAAAAGGGTGCTTTGATATACTGAAACCTATCCACAAGCGAAACTAATATCTCTGGTATTAGATAGAAACCTGTGATCTATATCTTCTACCCATAGTCCTGTACCCACCTCTGGTGATAACCAAGAAGCAGGTCGCATTTTCATTCCGATTCTATACGATATTGATGCGGGCGCTATCCTAAGCCTTTTTGAGAATGAACAGACGTTCAATGCTGTACAATTCAAGCACTTCAACCACGAAACATGTACGCAACGCACAGCGTTTCATCAAACAAAACAATCTAGAGCGCATTTTGACAAATTCTTGTGCGCATCTAAGCGAACACACCGTGAGTCACCAGGGACACCATGAAAGCCAGTCTGATATGTCCTGGTAGTGATTCAGTGGTACCTGCGGCATCAGTGGTACCCAAGTCAACCGTTTCCAAGTGGATACTGAATAAAACCATCTTTTGAACAACCAGGAGCATAGCTTTGAGCCCATGGCGATGAACCCATGTAGACCCTTGCCAACATGATTAATCAGATTGTGTTATTTTTGGGATCATCTCACCTGTGGAACAATCTCTCGAGGGAAGCAGCACTGCAGTCCCATGGATCGACGGGCATTGCACGTGGTTTTGCTCATTGTAGGGCTGCATCTGCTTTTCGTTAGAAATAAACTGTGTTTCGAAGCTAATCGAAACTGAGGAGACATATTAAAAAACTATACACCTCAGCAGCATAGGAAAAAGACTCACAACGAAAAGTATCTACCCGTTTAAAGTTAGGTAGGTTTGCCAGCTTAGTTGAGAAGAACTGACATCCTTTAAAATGTACATTCAAGAGTACTTGCAGATAAATCACAGCTGTTTCCGTAAGCTTATAACGATCAATTGCAGTTACATAGAACAGAGACACTAAAGTAGTGTGAATAGGGGGTTGAAAACATTTTCTGAGCCAGTCTCGTATCCCAGCTATTTGACAGACTGGGAGAAACTCAGACAGCCTGGAGCTAGCTAGCCTGTGCGTGGTCGCAAGCAATTCTGCGCGCAGTGAACAAAGAATCGATACGGTACTCACGAGGAAGTAAAACAAGAAAACAATGCGTAAAAATACCACTACACGGGAGTACCATAGAGAACGAATAGAATGTAGGGCCAAACAAATGTTGGTGTATCCCACGAGGGTGATATGGATGAGGAATGATGCATTATCGGTCAATCGAACGAACCTGTGATAGTCACGATTTTATTGACTAGACCATGTTGGGTCCTATTTAGGAACCATAATGAAGGCGTAGTTCGGTATTTCGTCTATTTTACGATCTATTTTACACGTTTTGCAGTACGTTTGTGTACTGTCTAATTTTCAATGAAAACTGTGTTGCTCTCACAGTATCGGTCAAGCTAATCAGCAGGACTAAAAGTGTTAAGTGTTGACATACAGGAAAGTCACTGAACTATTTCAAACCTGTCCACAGGAAACGAAAATAGGGCAGCGACATTAGGATCAGTTGACGTTTAAGACAATTTTGGATTTCAGCAAATCGTTCACGACTATTTGCAAGCGAACTCGAACTCACGACCTCTTAATTACCGTTCTACGAACTGTGCTCCACGTTCCATCAAGTAGGGTTTCACACTGATTCGCCACACCCCTGCCCAGTAGGTGTACATCGGCGCCCCTAGTGAGCCTTAATGGGACTTCCACATTGGACAAATGAATGTGGAGTTCAAAAGCATATGTGCTCCGCGGTAGCTCAGTTGGCAGAGCACTAATTCGACAAGCGATAGGTCGCAGGTTTCAGTCACAAACATTCTGTCTTTTCTTTCACATCATGTGTACTTGAGTCATCCAAATTTTCGTCTCCTCCTCCTTGATCAACATCAAGGAGCAAAACTCCTCTCACAGGGCCACACGTGCATGAATAACGAGAATTAAGGAACGATCGGCGATGAACTAAACCTCGTTGCCAACAATTCAGCTGGAAAACAAATGTAACGTGTTCGTTCTCGGACATAGCTTCACCCGCAAACCTTGTAAATAAAAACCAACGATTGCATTGGCAAAACCAAAGGGATACTTATACTAGTGATATTTTACTGGATGGATGTACGAAGCTGAATGGAGGAAAGTCGGGTGATGATGGAACCCTTCGGCCCAACCATGCATTAAGTGGAAGCAGAACAGCAAAGTACAAAAAGATGTATCCTTAGAAGAAAGATATCTCTAGTCCATTGGTGTCCATTGACTGACAAGGCTTGTTAAACACGTTTATGAGGCTGCTGGAACGCCGCCTTGAATCTCCAGAATCCATTTCATGACTACTAGGTCAACGTATCCGGTTCTCAGACTGCAGTTGTGTGTGTCATTGTGTATTTCAGTATTCGACTACACTTGACAGACAACCAGAACTACTGGGCGTGGTTGGTTCTTGCGGACAAAGACAGGTTTCATAGAACACACACGATAGGAAAAGGAACACCGTAGAAAGGGAACAGCGTTGATTACATAGCTGTTAAGTGACCAGGAAATATCGGCCATATAGTAACCATAAGATCAGCATGTATGTAGGGGTTTGTCTTTTTCGGAGTGAATTCTAAAACTGTTTTCCAATAAGATAAACACCCGAACCCATCTAGTGCAATCACCTGCGACAAAGAGATGGCCACTATCTAAAAAAAATCCCGCTTCCAATCAAGGGGTCGACTACACTTGACAGACAACCAGAACTACTGGGCGTGGTTGGTTCTTGCGGACAAAGACAGGTTTCATAGAACACACACGATAGGAAAAGGAACACCGTAGAAAGGGAACAGCGTTGATTACATAGCTGTTAAGTGACCAGGAAATATCGGCCATATAGTAACCATAAGATCAGCATGTATGTAGGGGTTTGTCTTTTTCGGAGTGAATTCTAAAACTGTTTTCCAATAAGATAAACACCCGAACCCATCTAGTGCAATCACCTGCGACAAAGAGATGGCCACTATCCTAAAAAAAATCCCGCTTCCAAATCAAGGTGGCTCGGATACAAGAAGAATTCGCAGGAAAATAAGCAAACCAGTCCCTGAATTGAATATCAGCTTGGTCAAAGTTTACTTTTAAACTCATATGAATGACGTGACCTCATCGGATAGATACTAATCACCGACTAAACTGATTGAACCGTTCAGAGTGACCTACTGAGTGCCATCATACTATTCCAAAGCAGCCCAACAAAATGCACTCTCTACGGGGTTTGTCACGACCCACAAATCCTCTAGGTCAAAGTGTCTCTAACAAGTGGCTGTACAATTTGTGTAACGAGTTTATTTACTGGCGTCATCGTCTAAATTTTTGCAGTTCGCTCTTCATTTGGGATCACGCGGGACAAGACGACACTGACCACGAGGGGCTCATTCGAGTGCCCGATTCCGGCGGCTTTATCATATATATGAGCACAGAAAATCTGAAGATAGTAAGGCTGAGTATTCTGGATGAGGCCGGTGTGGTTAATTGACTCCTTCGAGTTTCAAATAACACGCACTGTTATGTACAGGAGAGAAAACGATGACCATAAAAGCTGAAGGCAGTAGACCTACCTCTCGGGTCGTTCACAACGCCTGAGTGGGCGGCCAGAAAAGTCTGAACACGACTGTTTCTGTGCGATTGAAGGGTATTCAGCGGTATCGAGCAGTCGAACGGTCGCATCATCGGCATTAGGAACGCTTTTGGTCAACCCAATAGGTATGCTTCCTACAAACAAAACAAATTATTTAAGATGAGCAGAGTGCGGAAAGCATCATACTGCGGTAGGGATAGAGACGATTGAACTAGGCAACGCAAAAGAAGCAAACAGATGCCGTTGGTCGCAGGTAAATCAGACCATTCCAATGGAAGCAATACCACTAGGAGTGGTCGAAGTGGGAAGGTAGAATAAAACAAGTACTGGTTTGGAGATTTAACGATAAGTTGGAAAAGCTCTCTTTCCGCCTCACAACAGGTAAAGGTTGGGAACGATCACATAAATAAGCACACACAGCTATCCGATGCTTTACAGAGCAGCAGGATCCGGAAAGAAATACGACCCCCAATCATGATACGACACACAGCAAAAAGAAGTTGCACAGCGCAGGTACGTCAGCAGTGACTGCTATGTCAAGAATGATTCTGTCCGCTCTTGAACCGATCTATCGTTTGCTTGATTTACCACTCCAAGTAAACAGCTAATCTTGCAGTCAGCCTTCTCCGTTCATACGACTGAAGTGGCTCCGAAAAGACCGACTCCATGTAGACCGTTTCAAACACGTTGAGCGAAAAGGCACTGGTGAGCTAACATAGATATCCAAGAATTGAAAGATGAGGAAGTTCTGTAACAGAAACTCCACGTTAAGTACACCAACCCGTAAACAGTAATAAATGTTATTCACTTTATCTGATTACCATTTATTACAGTCTTTAGGTGATTAACGAACTATAACTTCCAGTACAACTATGGAACGAAAATTAGTCTAATAGAAACGTTTAGTTCACTAAACTGAATTCAGGCCAGCGCTTATTTTCCAGTCCAGCATATGATGTGCAGATATTCAACACGTCACCCAACACAACTGTTAAAGGAATATGCGAATATTTTCGACTTTGACCTTAAAAAATTCCTCAAACATTATGGAGCGATAAGAAAGTGCGAAGCACTAATAAGTTCAGTCCAATCTAAGTGCAAAAAACAGTACAATTCAGGTTATTCGAGGTGCTCTGTCATTCACCGTTAGATTTTTTCGCACCTCTTAGTTTGCTTCCAAGTAACCCACATCATTTGGGAAATTTGTTGAATCCGTGTGCCATTTTGCTCCATCTTCTATTTGTAACCGATATGTTCGATCGCTGTGAAGAACAGTCTGATTACCAAGTAGGCAAAAGAACTGAGGAGACCATTAAGGAGGTACGGGCCTATGTGTTACTAGTCGGAATATCATTCCTATGTCTCGGTTATTCACAAAATAATCACCAACTATACCCAGACAGTGTCAATCTGAAGGAACCGACCATCACTGCTATAACAATATGACGTGAAAATGACATCCCAAATTCATTCTATTGTGAGTTCAGTTGTACTGCATTTAATCTTCCATTTTCATATTACCCTAATCACAAACCAAGCTATTTGAACCGTGTGGATTGCACCGTTTTATCCGACAGAATGCTTCGGTTAATGGACAGATGTGATAAGAACGCCTGTTTACTGGTTTCGGTGTAGCACGTTTCACCTAATCAGCCGACAGATATTCAGATTTCCATGTGTTCCAAGCAAGGAATAACCCGGCGAACCTACCCGAGCAAGCTTGCAGAACGTGAGTGGATTACGCACGATACCCAGTCACTGCTCGCTTGTAATGCAGATTTTGTTGTATCTACCGGTTATCTTAAAACGCTGTACGGAGCAGTGTTCAGCAGCATTTCCGACTTCGAACGATGTACTGAAAATTTAAAGCTTTCAATTTGAACGAGGAGGGGAAAAGGGGAACTCAGAAAATTCAAGCAACACTCGGAACACAAGCTATATAAAGCTGTCCTAAGAAGCATATAACCATAAACCACCTCAAGCTGGTGAATTCGATTCGTAAGGAACGTTGGTTATGACTAAGTATTTGCGAAACGGAATCTAAGTTTTTATTTTTTGGGCTAGCTCCTGATCGCCTACGTAAACACCTCGTGCCAAAGTGAAACTAAGTGAGAGGCGCAGAGAAGGGTTTCTGATTGTTTAAAAGATTCATAAGAAAAGAATGAGCTCATGACAAATAGTTTTGCCAGACAGGTGGAAAAACCTGGAAAGAATTATTCTGGTCGAGACATACAATACACATTGACAGTTCCCCATGAAGGGTTGCCAGCATAAACCGCTCGGGCGGCTAGGATAGGTGCACTGTAATTCAGATGACTCACTCGCTAGACGCAAACAACAGATTGGGAATTCAACAAAACAAACCATGCTTCATGCGACAAATACCGAAAGCATTCGTCGTGGACCTTTGTCGTCGGTGCTCTGTCATTCACCGTTAGATTTTTTCGCACCTCTTAGTTTGCTTCCAAGTAACCCACATCATTTGGGAAATTTGTTGAATCCGTGTGCCATTTTGCTCCATCTTCTATTTGTAACCGATATGTTCGATCGCTGTGAAGAACAGTCTGATTACCAAGTAGGCAAAAGAACTGAGGAGACCATTAAGGAGGTACGGGCCTATGTGTTACTAGTCGGAATATCATTCCTATGTCTCGGTTATTCACAAAATAATCACCAACTATACCCAGACAGTGTCAATCTGAAGGAACCGACCATCACTGCTATAACAATATGACGTGAAAATGACATCCCAAATTCATTCTATTGTGAGTTCAGTTGTACTGCATTTAATCTTCCATTTTCATATTACCCTAATCACAAACCAAGCTATTTGAACCGTGTGGATTGCACCGTTTTATCCGACAGAATGCTTCGGTTAATGGACAGATGTGATAAGAACGCCTGTTTACTGGTTTCGGTGTAGCACGTTTCACCTAATCAGCCGACAGATATTCAGATTTCCATGTGTTCCAAGCAAGGAATAACCCGGCGAACCTACCCGAGCAAGCTTGCAGAACGTGAGTGGATTACGCACGATACCCAGTCACTGCTCGCTTGTAATGCAGATTTTGTTGTATCTACCGGTTATCTTAAAACGCTGTACGGAGCAGTGTTCAGCAGCATTTCCGACTTCGAACGATGTACTGAAAATTTAAAGCTTTCAATTTGAACGAGGAGGGGAAAAGGGGAACTCAGAAAATTCAAGCAACACTCGGAACACAAGCTATATAAAGCTGTCCTAAGAAGCATATAACCATAAACCACCTCAAGCTGGTGAATTCGATTCGTAAGGAACGTTGGTTATGACTAAGTATTTGCGAAACGGAATCTAAGTTTTTATTTTTTGGGCTAGCTCCTGATCGCCTACGTAAACACCTCGTGCCAAAGTGAAACTAAGTGAGAGGCGCAGAGAAGGGTTTCTGATTGTTTAAAAGATTCATAAGAAAAGAATGAGCTCATGACAAATAGTTTTGCCAGACAGGTGGAAAAACCTGGAAAGAATTATTCTGGTCGAGACATACAATACACATTGACAGTTCCCCATGAAGGGTTGCCAGCATAAACCGCTCGGGCGGCTAGGATAGGTGCACTGTAATTCAGATGACTCACTCGCTAGACGCAAACAACAGATTGGGAATTCAACAAAACAAACCATGCTTCATGCGACAAATACCGAAAGCATTCGTCGTGGACCTTTGTCGTCATGATGCAACAATAACTTCTGTGTACCAACCAAACTACGAGAGGTCAGAAATCCCATAAAAAGGTATATGGGGAAAAACAGAAGCATGTTGCACGTCGCTGTGCGAAACGATGGTCGATGGAGGATGACTTGATGATAGGTGAGTGACCTGACGCAAGGCGTGTAGACCCGACAAAGCTGTAAGCCGACAGGTTGACGCACATGTGTCGGCTTGAACATGGAAAAACAGCATGAACGAGGATGTGGACAAGTAAACACCAGCTTAGTGACAATTAGAGTTGCGCACCACGGTGATGCCTCAGAAAGATATCGAATTCTGTACCTTCAAGAATTGCATGCTGAAGAGGTAATGAAGAATTTTTCGCACAACACAAAGGAAATCGTATTGTGGGAGAAAATAATTACAGAGTCATTTATTTACGAACAAGCGTACAACTTCGTGTTGTTCTCTCAATCAATCCTCCCCATGTCATTTGCTCAGGCAATCAACTGAGGAGAAATTTCACGACGGAGAACACGTCGTAATAGCTAATGGTAGTAAGACCGAGCTTAGTTCCCCGTGATAGTATGATTCAAGTAAAGGAAAGTATAAAGATTGTAGTCCTTCTCTTTGGTTGCTAGATGACCTTTCGGTCGTTGTGACACGAAGTTAAATTAAATAAAAGGAGCTCATTTGGGAATGTCAACACCAGAACTCTTACAACGAAGAAAAAACGTGTTTACCTAATGAATTCGTCAATTTGATCGAGTTGCGTCATCTATAGGTTGAAGTTTTAAAACCAACTGAGCCTTGAAAAATGGATATCCAATATTCCACGAATTTAAACCCATAATACGACTATTGGACTTGTTCGCCAGCTCTTGATCGCCAACAACCGCAGAAGGACGTTAGTCGTTAGATTTTTTTGTCATATCACCATAAACACCAATGTTCAACAACGATGCTTTAATGCCCTACGACATGAACTACATTCCGGTAGGCAGTTTAGTTTATTAACAATTAAAAAAATTAGTGAATGTAATTTCAATGCTCTCTAAAGCATATGTACAGACGTGAAGCCATCTAGTACAAATAACTTTGAAGAGGTACAATCTGGTATTCACAGACCCATCAAACAGAATGACTACAAGCCACATCGAATGAACTGGGAGTTAACCGAAAATGTTCGTTGTGACTGGTCGAAATATAAACAAACCGCGATCAGGTAATCTAGCTAAGGAGCCACGGCCTGGGTTAACTTGAAGAAAGCCCTGTTATTTGTTGTATCGTTACAGTATCGTTACACACTGAACGGTTGCTTTCCCCCTAAGAGAAACCACTGCATAAAAACACAGTTCACTCGTAGCCACGATATGTAGATAACTGCTAGGCCATAAACAGTG